CATGTTGTGTTCGGATAAATCTACATTCGTGCCTTAAATCTACAACAGTTGACAACAAATTGTTGGAAAAAAATATTTAAAAGTGGATAAAAAATAAATTTAAAAACTACAAATTGAAGAAAAAAACAAATTCCAAGTCAGTCCATCATTTGGCAACCTAACTGTATTAAAATTGTTAGCTGCCTTGTGAAGGGCTTCCTTGTAATTTAATTACAACAAATAAAAAAGGAATATCATTAAAAAAATAAACCAAAATGAGTGTAACAAATTTCGAATTTAAAATTGAAAGTTTTTGAAAACTCAAACATTTTTCAATATTTCACAGTGATTTTTAAATTACTCCTTTAAAGAGTCTTCTTTTAATTTTATCGCGTTAAACTACTAAAAGGATACAAGTGAAAAAATACTGATGTTGCTATATCGAAAAATGTTAAAATATTTTTTTCAAACTTTACAATTTTAAAATAAGTTTCAAAGATTATAACATTTTAGCGGTTGGGATTCTTATATAAAATCTTGGTTACAATGATTTCTGAATCATAAAAGAGTGGTTAATGTTATTTTATTTTTAAATGCCGTGCGGTCCGAAACCACAATTTATATAAAATAGAACAAAAATAATATGCACATATATTTAACATAATTTGCCACGTAAGCAATATGTACATTTATTAGAGGGGCTCAAAAAATATTCCAACCCAATCGGATAACTGCAAACCGTCCCTAAAATCAATTAAAAAATGTAAAATTTAGTATACAATAGGACCTTATTTGATTTCTGAAAAAAAATTCTAAATAAAATTGTCTATCCAGCGATGTATAAAAAATTTTCTATCCAACGATGTATAAAATATTAATATCAAATGACAAACAGCGATGTTATTGACAATTTCTGTTTGATAACACAATTTCGGTTTGATAACAAAGAAGTCGTAATCCAGAGACCAAAGTATATAATATAATAGAATCGAAAACTTAAAATTTATCCATAGTGTCATAAAGATTTAAAAACCTCCGTTTATGGGCATATTTGAGACGCTATAACTGCGCGAAGATGCAATTATTTATAACATCTGTTACGTCATCTGAAAGTCCAATCTGTCGACTTTTAAATAAAGCTTTAATCCCTGTTATATATACTTTCTTCTTAATTTGCGATATTCGCAACCGTCATTTTTATGATGCGAGTTTTGCCGTTTTTTGCACAACTTTATTTCTGTGATACATTTCCGAACGTAGAGAACTGACACGAAACTTGTCACGCGCTAGTTCTAAAGTGATAGAGTTCTAAATTGATAGGATACGGTTCTAGTTCTGAAACTTTATATGGAGGGGACCTGTCTCTTTAGCATGGCGATGTCTTACAAAGGGGTAAATTGACATATTTTTCATACTCTGTTACATGTCACGGAACTTACCGCAGCGAACCTTGTAATTTCGAAAAATGAATTAATAAAACTTTAACAAAAATTTGCATAAGTTGCAAATAATTGTAAATATTTTAAAATGCAAGATACATGTCACTTAACATGTCTAAAAGTCTGTAGTATTTATCAATAGATTTAAATCGATTTGTTAAAACAAAATATATTCAATATTTGTAACTTCCTAGGCTAACGCCATATTAATGTGGTGTTATAATTATAATAAATCGCCATGGACTAGTTTTGTGTGAGTTCCTTTAAAGTTTAAACCAATCAGGAGATAAGTATAGTTTTTAGCTATCACATTTTTGTATTTTTGTAATAATTTTATTTTCACATATCACGGGACAGGTACTTACTTTTGGATCAATTGATACATATTTCCCGCGGGCTTAAGTTGTGGCCCCAAAATAAAAGTAAAAAATATGACTTTTTCAATGTTTTTTAAGAGTATTAATTACTGTTTTAAAAATAAAAATTGTTAGTTTTTGAATTTTTTCATATTTTTCCTCCATTGTTGGTGAAATTTATTTAATTTTAGTTCATTCTTATTTTACACAAAACAAAATACAACCCCGATCAGCTGCCGACGCGTCAAAAGTTGAAAGTTACTGAACTTTTCGCGGCAGACGCGTTACAAACTACAGTGTGTAACTTGTTAAATGAAAACACACAATTTCAACTTTTTTTACAGAAGCCTATAACTCGTTGCCGCGTGTTGTCTACATACTTTTCTACCTTTTTTAGTTTAACTAAAATTACTTCCCAAATCAAACTGCATTGAATTGGTACATTATCATAAGGTACCAAAATAGTACCAAACAACTAATTATTATTACCCCTTTTAGGGTTAATAATTAATATAAGGATGATATATAAGAAGGATATACATATATACATGTATTACATCAAATCGGAAGAAATACATCTAGGCCACTATCGGGCCTGTGTGCGCTCCTTTTCATGGAAGAAAAAATGTTTGTTGGTATAAAAAAAACATTGTGTTAATTGAATCTTTCAATGTTCAGAAACTCAGTTTCCTGGACGTAATTCCTAAGAATTTTCCAATCAGTGTTCGTGAGGAATATTTGTTATATCCGGAATATTATCACTTCCAAGATATTTGGATCTTACTTCCACTAATGCCTGACAGTGACAAAGAAAGTGCTCCAGAGTTTCACTGTCCTCTCCACATGCTCTACATATCCGCACGTCCAATTTTGTATAGCTGTGCCCTTAATCCTGTGTGTCCAATAGTATGTGCCATCTAACAAACCTCAGATTTACTTATTTTTAGGCCACGACATTGCTTTAGCACCGTTGGTTGCATCCGAAGTTGGATATCCTGTGGAGAAGGAGAAAACATTATTAAAATTCTTATGAGTGAGATGAGATACATGTTCTCGGGCGAAACCCTGTATCAGCGTAGAAAAGTTTGAGATTTTTAAGTGATTTAATCGAGAAACCTTGTCAATAAAATGGCTACAATCTGCAACCGCAGCCGCACTATATTTAATTTAATTTAAATTTCCCGTCTCCGCAATATTGTATTTCTACTAGGGTGATCGCTTATTCGACATTTTCCAAAAACCGGTTTTCGAATAGTTCGAATAGTTGACATTTCAAAAAAACCGGTTGATATTTTTCAAATTCAGAAAAAACCGGTTAACCGGTTTTTCATAATAAATAAAAAAATATATGTTAATTTGAAAAAATTAATGTTTATGTTTAAATTTGATTAATAAACCATGGCCCGAAATGATTTTTAACAGTTTAAAAGATTATAACTTTAGATCTAGTCGTCTGATTTACATTATTTCTTTAATATAAAAAAATTAGGAAAAAAGTGGGACACTTCTGTTAAACATAAGGTAATCATAGCTTATTTTAAAAGCCCTGTTTAGGAAATTTGCATAGGCATTCCAACACTTCCATAATATTTCAGCGGTAAATTAATTATTGTAATTGGAATATAATCTTAAGATTAATAAAATTTTATTAAACAGTTATTAATTTTACAAATAAAATTTTTTAATTAATTAGGAAAATTAAAAAAAGTTTAACCAATGGTGCTTTAGAAAAATATATCCTAGTTCCTGGACTCGAATATTTTTAAAATTTAAACGGGCTGTATTATTTACTTCAAAATTTCATTTAAATAATCTTTGAATACAAAGCAAATAAAAGTATTCGAAACCGGTTTTTAAAAAGTGAAAAAACCGGGTTATTTGATATTCGAAAAATCAACATTTAAAAAAAACCGACACTGGTAAAGCAGAAAAAACCGGTTTTAAAACCGGTTGAAAAATCGAGTCGATCACCCTAATTTCTACTCTTAAATAAATGGCCGGGCGTCCTTCGAATACTTTTTTTATTTTTTTTAATTTAGAATTTTTTTAGTAAAAATTTTAATTCTTTTTTGCAAAAATTTTTTTGTAAAAAATCTAATTTCATAACAAAAGTAAAAATTTAGATGTGGCGAGTTTCCGCCGTTGTGAGTTCGTGGTGTGGGGAGTTTTCGAGGTGTGGTGAATAAATTTTATTCACCACAAAAACCGTTACAAGAAAATGGTCAGTGCATTACCGACCTACTGTGTTGCCTCAAGTATTTAACTGCTTTATCACAAAAGTGAACCCCCTTTTATCATTGGTTGTGTTTGTCAAGACAAACTTAGCAAAGACAACAACCGTAAATTTAGACGGCTGTGAGCTACCTGCAGAGTAAATAAAAAAACTATCCCCAATGTCGCCAGATGTGGGAATTTAAAGTTTAATTTGGGACAGATTTTCTTAGGGAGGGATTTGGGAACTTTCGTAAAATTTGTGGGTTTTTTTTTATAATTTTTCCACTATTTTTCTCCGATTTGGAGAAGTTTGGTACATATACTCTTTGAATAAATGCAAAATTCTAAAGAAATTTCAAAATCGTAAATTTTTGGATTATAAGGAAAAGTTTAATGTCGTAGGAAGGATAATAAATACAAAAACATATTTAAGTTAAGTATATATCAAAAAAAGGTATCTTTGATTTGTCTAATAGAATATAGTCTCAAGCGATTACATATAAAGAATGGGACCATTAGGGGATTTAAAGAATATTTTATTTTAGTGAAATAATCAACCGCATTTTCATAGAAATTAAAAAACAAATTGGAATATGGGATATATTTGCGTCGAACGAACATGAGTGCTTTTCATGAACAAATGTTGGATTAAACTACGAGGAATTTAATTTCAAAATGGGAATTTTGTGGGGACATCAAGCTTAAGATTGGGGTCATGAGTCAAAATTTTTCTGGCAACACTGCAAATACTTTGACACAAATAGGGGTTTCTTTACACTGCTATCTATGCCTCAACAGATGGCAACAAATGGATGTTAAATATGCATTTCACACATAGATGGCACTATATTTAGAACTTTTTGAGATGTGAGTTATCGATTCAATACATATGTTGTTTTTCTTCATATTCTTTCATTCTTCATAATTCGTTCTTTCTCCGCCACCCAACACACCCCCCGCAATTTCTTTTTTTTTTTTGTATTTTTTATTCACTGTTTCAAATGTTCTTTCTTTATACATTTTTCATACAAAATAAAATATTTAACAATCAACCCCAATCGTTTGTCTTCCATTTTCGTGTTGTTCGCAGTAGAACGAAAAAATTTTTCAATTTGCGTGAAAATGTCGAGTTTTTTCTCAATAAAATTGTGAAAATTTTGTGAAAATATATTAAAATTCGCAACAGTACAATGTAAAATAGTGCAAGAACGTGAAAATTGTAAAGTTTTTTGTGGAAAATCTGAAAAGAAAAATTTGTCAACAAAATTTACACGCAGGTGCGTAGCGTACGCAGACGTGACAGACGGTAGCCCAACTGGGCCTGCCTGCTCCATGAAAGAATTTCATAGAAATTGTGTGGGCAGACATGCCAATCAGCCTAGAAGAGTAAATAATAAATCAGACAGAATATATACTTCATATATAAACTTTGTTCTAACGTTGGGGGTACAAGAAAACTCATTCATCTATAAAATTATAAAAACAAAATCATGATGCGCGGTCTCTTAGTGAATTGGATTTCGGGGCAATCGTAGTCTGGTGTGGCCTTTAACTCAATGGGAGATGTTGTTTAAAAAACATTTCAAATGCATATGTATATTTTTTCCAGAGCCTGGAGGTGGTAAAATTTTCCTTGCCCAATTAGTGTGTGTGTGTTTCTATGTGTTTCCTTTTTTTGGTGAAAAATCGAAATGTTCTTTCTGTGTGTATCTACACTTTAACGTTGATGATAATAATGATTATTGTGTTGTTATTGTTTTTTCCTGTGTAGTGCATTTGCATGAGTTTGTTTGTGTTCAATAGATTGTGATGTAAAAATGGTTAAAAACAACAATAAAAACGAAAACCAAAGAATTTTAGTTTTTTTTAAGGGGGTGATTGTTGGGAGCACCCTTTGCATAGTTGTTTTGATATTGTTGTTTTTCTTTTCTACATAACCATTTTATTGAAAAGTGATGTCAATACAATCAATTCATCACAATACATCAGAAATAATTGGGCGCTTTTTTGCACCCTACAAAGGTAGAAGTGAGATTTGTAACGCTTAAAAATATTAATCCTACATAGTCCTTTTTGAACGTAGAGCCAAACAAGTCTTTAAATATAGTTTGTAATACTGATATTTGCATTATTATTGGAGAGTTTTTAAATAGAAAACTTCTAATTTCAATTTTTTAAATCTCAAAATATATGTTTTTCTCTGTACTCTTTCGTATTTGGCGTTATGGCCAATAACTTTTTTCAAAATACTTACTTCGAACCTTAAAAGTGAACATTCTGCAACGGTTCAAAACCCCGCTTTAATAAATGAATTTTGTTTAAAATTATTAACCCTCTTATGACCAATTATAGAATTATTTTTTGTTTGAAATTGTCACTATTGACACCAGTTTTAACCTTTATTTGCATGAGGTCCGCTTCAAGAATGAAAATATAATTTTGTCAAATAATTAAAATTTTTATTATATTTTAAAGAAGACGATTTAAAATCAGATCGGGAAATTAATAAAGGTTAAGCTATTTCTGAAATGCAACATAAAAAGATGGTGTTTATCATCAGTTTGACAAGGTTTGTTTGGTATTGAAAATGAGCTATATCAGACCAACAGAAACAGAAGATCATTATGTCCTACTTTTGAACTAAACTATTAACAACAAGAAGTTTGAAATGAAATTTTTCACAAAGAGTCTTAACCCAAAAAATATGAACAAATTTAAAATTACAAATAAGATCGTTACTGATCACTGATTTAATTCAGAAAAGGTTCATAATGGTATTTTTATGAAATGTTATACTATGTAAATCAATTTGGGCCACACTGTTCCTCATTTATGTTGAATTTAGTTAGAATTAAACTTATTTAAAGACATGTGCCATATATGGTACGCTAAGCATTTAAGGGTTAAGAAATTATTGTAGAATTTTTATTATAGATTTAATTATATTAGGAAAACATTAATTTATTAAACTCGGTACATTCATTTAATTCTTAGAACTAGTGCAAAACACTTGCTACTGGAACTGGTTCCATTTAACACCTTAGAAATAATTTAAATTAACAAAATTCTACGAAACGCGTTATAATGATATTTTGAGATACTTGTTTTTAACTTATAACTTATTTCTTAACTTTAACTTAATTTTTATCAAAAACTAAAAAATATCGGTCTTAAAAATTGGATTTTTTATATTTGCCCAAAACCTTGTAATATATTTTCATTTATTCGCAAATAAAAAAACGTTTGTTTGACCACACTGTTCAGTTACCACATGAAAAATTGTTGTTGTTTTGTAAAATTACTTTTCTGTATGTTTGTGGGTATTTTACAGATATTGATTAATTTCTTTTTTTTTCAAAATTTCTGTTACACAAATAAATGCAAAGTAAAATTATTTAATTTTTCTCTTAATTAAACTAATAAAATTAATAAACAAATACAAAATTCCTCAAACAATTCTTCAACACTTTTTAAACACATTATTCGTTACTTTTTTTATTCAACTCTTTAAAAAAGCAACAGTTTTTCTTTTAAATTTTTAACAAAATTACCGTTAAAATATTTGCAGTAAATACTACCGTTTGCCTTTGAATTACTAATATGTTTTCTGTCATCAAACAAGTTTCGAGTTGTTCCCTTAAAGTTTTGTATAGTCAGCTCTAGAGTTAGCGTTTATTTGCCTTTTTATTTTTTAGTTATTCTAATCGTCTTAAAATTCTCTAAAGGTGGGAATAGTATGTGTGTGTTATTATCATTTAGTTTTTTTCCTATTTTGTTTGTACTTGTCAATTGATGCGCGATTTTTTGCCGGCACTCTATAATGTTTCCATAAACAATGTCTTTGCGTATGTCCCATTTCTATGCATGCTCAATGCAGGCCTTTAATATCATACTTTTAATTTATTTATGCTCCGTCTCTGCTTTAGTATCGTCAGCAAACAGTCTTATTGCCACCATAGTGGCAGCGAGTACCATAACAAACACAACTCCAGCTGTGGCCACACTAGCAATCGTCCATTCATTCCTTCCTCTGTCCCTAAATTATTAAGTTGTTTTTTTTTTTTATTAAATATGTAGTAGTATGCCTTTTTGTTTATGGCAAAATTAGCACATGCTTATTTTACGTCTTTGTAAAATATTGTTAAATTGTATTTTGTATAAATATGTAACTTTCTCAATTGTTTATATTAATTTATGATCAGTGCTGGCGCTTTTTATCCGACAAGCTACTCTGTTCATATAAAATCTCTGTTCGTTTCTTATTGTTTCCTTAGAACTTTAACGTGTTCAGTGTATGAAGATGCATCATTTACATCATTAAATTTACAAGAAAGCTATTTCTCAGGACAGCCTACTGAAATGCTTTATAAACTTGTTGAATACTACTACTACTGCTAACGAATCATATCAGCATCTTTTTGATGGCTATATGAAAATCTATAAACTTTTAAACATTTCGACCCATTTAAGGAATTAGGAAAAGGTTTTGATAAATCAATTTAATAAAATGTAGATTTTACTATATTGATTTAAAAACGAATCAGTTTCAAACGGCTTGAAGTTAATAAAACCTTATTTGATCGAATTTTCAAATCGTCGGATGGTCAACTTATAAATTACAGCGTGAGATTTCTCATTATAGCAATTGCCGCTGCAGTTATCGCTTAGAAAAATATTGTGAAAAGAATAAATAATGGACTGAATGACAACTATACGTTTAAAACTTCTATAGGTATGAATTGATGGTTGCAACCAGGTAAGATACATAACTTTATTAAGATATCGATTGTTAGGACTATTCATACTTATATTTGTATGTATTGTCAGGCAGGAAATGGGCAGCTATAAGAAGATACTCAATAAAGCTATTAGCGGTTCTGCATATCCTACTATATTTGTCTTCTATTGAGCACCATGTAATGAGTGTGACATCTAGAACCCAATGCGAACGCTATAGGTCCTCTATAAACAATATACATATATTGACAGATCCGTGATGGATACTGACACGGGTGTCGATGTTAACATTGCTGACACTGGATATAAAAAAACCTTCAGATCCCCAGAGGAATGCAGATCCTTACAAGCGGAGATCATTGCGATTTGGAAAGTGAAGGAACTGATACTGGATTTCAATGCTTTAGGGGTCCGTTGTGACAATTTTTGTCGATAGTCCGATTGCAGTCAGAGCATTAATAAGACATATGGTGCACTAGTCATAGAAATACGGGTTTTCAATTAGATACTATAGTGAGTGTTCTGATCTCCTAACACATTGTTATAATTTCGAGATCTTCTGGATCTAAGACGGTTACGTTTTAAATTAATACATAATGTTTGAAATTTGCACATAGCAACATGAATAGAAGTAAAATTCTGTAATATAATTCGGATCTTTTTATATTTGAACATAAGCTTTTATATGTTTAGAAATTGTTTTGAAGTATTCTGTGATTTTCATACAATAACGGAATTTGCAAGTTTTAGCGTAGTTGGTATTAAATTTAAAAGTATTAAAGAATGAAGAAGAACTTGCTAAAGCAGAAACCTTATTACTATCAACTCTAATAAGACTTCATGACACATTTTACACATTTTCGAATTTCTTATTTATTTTGTATTTATTTCACATAAACCATCCCCTGTGTAGAGGGTTGTTTATAAAGAATATTTTGTACGTGCCTCATGTCAGGTACAGTTCCAATTAGACTATTTTTGTGTGAATCCACTCAGACATTGTGGTGTGTTATTCTTTGGATTTATTTATTTTATGACTACGCACACTCATTTTGCTTTTCAGCACTAGAGTCGTTCACCCCCTGATTGATATTTTTTTGTATGCGTTTGCGTAAGTACTATCTACATACATATGTACGTATTTCCACTGTCCTACTCTGTTCTAAATTTTATTTACTTTTGGGTTATTTGGTAGAAAAAATGTTTTTAATATAAATAAATGAACTGAAGCTAAAAGAAAAGTGATGATTACAGCACAAGTGTATTTTATTGATTTCTTTTTATTTCGTTTATTTTCGAATTGCTGTTGTTGTAAATAGTATTCACTGTTTTGTTCTCATTACTTGTATAGTATTGTTTTTTTTTTCTGTTTTATTTTTTGTAGTTGCTCACTTTTTTCTTTAAGTTCAACGTGTATGTGTTTAGATTTGCAGTAGTTGGTATTTAAGGCATTTTAAAAAACAATATGGGAATTTCCCTGATTTTGTAATTTTGCAAATTTTCATTATATCTTATACATATATTATCCGATTTGGTTGTGCGTGGGTTAATTGAATTGCTTTATCCAAACTTTATTGAAATCTAAATCGGTCCAAAATTGCTGAACTTTTAAATTTCTACGAATAGGCGAAAGTGCCCGGTAAGTTCAT